TTAAACATATTGACAATAGGGTGGTCCTTTTAAAATTCTAATTATTTCCGCTAAATTTTTATTATAAAATTATACGTAGACATGTTGAAATTGTAATATTAAACCATGAACGTGCTTTAAAATATTACTTAATCCAATAAAATATGTCAATATACTTATATACTTTCATATCGATATAATGCATAAAATAAATTGGTAAAATACAGTGCAGGCTGTAGGCAATATAGAGTAAAACCTGAATTTAATAATAACTGAAATGTTGTTTCAATAATTACATATAAATCTGTACAAGGGAGACCATTAGAATCAAATTAAATTTTAATACTTTTTATTATTTAAATGATATATCAATTAACTATAAATTTGGACAAACCAGAAGAGAATATAAAAATTATTTACTAAATAAAACTTAAATAGAAGCTCTTTTAAATAATCTTTTTTTATGTAGGTACATTCATTCGGAAGGCTATTCCAGTAGAAGAATATAATAATAATAAAATAAATCCTGAACAATTCACACAGCATCATCTAGTTTCATGCTAAGTAGAACTTTTGTTACGTGTTAACAACTGATAGAATACTAGAGATATAATACTTAACGTTCTTTTGTAAGTACATACATAAGATACAAAGCAAACACCCAGACCAATACGAACCTACGCATGGATATAAATGTTTACACTGTACGTAAAATTGAACCAGTGACCATCAGAAGTAAAAAGTAGACCGCTAGACCATGACCACTATGATACAAATATGTGAATACAAACTACCAAACATTGGAGTCAAAATATTAAGTATACATTTGGATGAGTCACTGAATAAGAGAAACTAAACAAATAAGTCGTAGTGATTAAAGCTGACCAAAACCTACACGCATGTTCACGAGTATGACAAGACGAAATAACAGCACCACTCAGATAAATCGGTAACCGTCGCCTATATACATGAATAGCACTAATCTTATCTTTCAACCGAAACATATCTTAGATAGGTAACAGGACAGTTTTTATGTTGATTTTTATATTATAATTTGGGTTATTATGTGTAATAGCACCTACAGACGTAAAAATTACGCACCTAAAAAATTGTTTAAAATACATAAATAATTGTTACTCTTTTTCCTTGTAGTATAATTGTCGATTTCGAATTTCGAAGTTAAATTAAATTTAAATATGACTTCGGGTCTTATTGTGGTACTGGGGTTTGAGTTATTAAAGAATATTACTCAGACATAATCACAATATTGAAATATCTACAAGAGAATAATTATTTTGACATTAGTTACAATTTTTGACATTATATTCAATGTTAGAATTTTATTCAGTCTTCGTTAATGAACAAGTTGGCAATAGTCTTTAAAATTCGTATTTAAATACGTAATATTCGAAATTAATGTCTGCCCTAAGTGTATTATAACTTATCTGTAAATAAGAATTGAGAAACATCTAAGTAATAATTATTTGATTAGAATAATTCAAGCAAAATAATTGAATAAGAAACATTTTATAAGAACTAACTTCTCGAATTTAATCAAAATTTCCAGCTATTTTCCAGTTGTTTGGAAAATGTTTTAGATTACTTCTGGGAGTACAAAAGATGAATTAGATTACGGCTGATGAAGAAATTGATGGATTATAAATAAAACAATTTGTTCCTGTAGACATTTGATGTAGGTACAATGAACTGATGAATTGTTAATTAGAAATATAACAAACAAAGTTTATTACAAACATAAAATACATTATCATCCGGAATGTCATCTGAATTTCTTGTTTTAATACATTTTAAATTCAAGTATTATAGAAACTAGTTTAAAATTAAAACAATTTGTAAAATGTAAAAAGAGAGTAAACGCAGTATTATAATATTATGAATATCTCTGTCATATTTAAATAAATATAATGCTCATGAAACGACGTCAATTACCTGATAAATTACATTGTTATGGCCCGTCCACACGCACAAGTTGTTTTCACGACTTTTGACGATATCTCACTACGAATATTAAGTTTATTATATTAAATCCTGGTGAATTATTGTATTCATATGGTAATATATCATACTCTCAAGATATTACAAATAGACGAATCGTGAAAAGATATTACGATTCGTTCTTTTTGGTCGAGGTTTATCTACGAACAGCGAGAGTTAGAGAATTCAGTCTGAATTTGAAACAAATGGAATCCAATATTTATCATTTATCGAATATACTGACTTAGAGCTGATTTGATCCCGTCAAAAGTGAGTCACTGAGAAAACAAGAACAATGCATTATATTTAGTTGCTATTAATTCACGATTCGTTGATATGTGAATGAAGCCTTAAGTACGCAGATAGCAACACTGGCGCCGTTGTGTCGCGTCAGGCCATCTCGCGTCAATAAAGGAAGCCAAATACCAATCAAAGCATGGCATGCAATGGGGCCCTTTAATGGATTATTATTCTTCCAGTTACGAATAATAAGCTAACTGTATGTATATTTTAGTTTCATATTATCCTTATCATTACTAATATTATAAATGCGAAAGTAACTCTGTCTGTCTGTCTGTCTCGCTTTCACGCCAAAACTACTGAACTGATTTAAATGAAATTTGGTACCCATATAGTCTAGACGCCGAGGAAGGACATAGGCTACTTTTTAATGCGAAAAAAGGGTTGTAAGGGGTTGAAAATGGTAATGCAAGGTTATCTTTATGCGGTTGAATACACACTTATTATAATACTGGCTTAACTAAAAAATTAGATATTTTGGAAAGTCTACTTTATAATTGTGGTATTAAGTCTATATTCAAAAATTTTTAATTTCTGAATTACACCAGTATTGTACTAGATATGCGACTTATTAACGCTCATATGTCATAAATAAACATATATGTCATTTGTATAAGCAGCGCGTCAGCTCGCTTTTTTGGGTCAGTTTAATAAATACCTTACTAATATTATGAAAGTGAAAGTGACTCTGTCTGTCTGTCTTAAAAGCCAAAACTTCTGAACTGATTTAAATGAAATTTAAAGTCTAGATCTTGAGTTAGGACATAGGTTACTTTTTAATGCTAAAAAGGGTTATAAGAGACTGAAATAGGAATTTTTTAAAAGTTTAAGCTTCAATCTTATTTTTTTGCGTATTGATTAAATATAATTAACGAAAATAGGTTGTAAGGGTCAAAAGGGGAGTTAAAAGTTGTATGCATGTATTGTCATTTTTTAAAGCTAGAAACTTGAAACTTATTTTTTAGGCTGTTGAGAAAATATCAGTACCTACCGCCACAGGACTCAGCCATAAATGGTTACAGTATAGCGACATCTTATCATTGGTACATGATGACACTAATATAAGTAGCATTAAAAAAAACAACAAAAAGGATTATAAGGGGTTGAAAGGGGAGATGTAATGTATGTATGGTATGTATGGAAGTATCTTCATTTTAAAGATAGTAGTTTCAAACTTAGTTTTTGGCTGTTGATTGAATTGTATGGAATTATGTATGGAAATTTCATTTTTGAAGCTTGAACGATGAAACTTTTTTATTGGGTTAGATTATTAATATATATTTTTTATTATTTGCTCAAGGTCACTATTTTACGCGGACGAAGTCGCGGGTATAGCTAGTAAACCATAAAAATAATATGATTAGATTTGCAGAATAAGATTAGTATGAAAGTTGATAAAGTGTCAAAACTAGTACTGGCCCGCGATTTCGTGCTTTTTTTGGATAAAAGATAGCCTACGTTTATTCTCGTGATACAATTAATTGTTATATTAAATTTAATTAAAATCTCTTGACCCATTTAACCTCAAAAAGGTAACAAAATAAATATAGAAAAAATATGCTTTGTACGTTGCATTCCTAGCTTGTTTGTGTAGTCCCTGTATATAGGCGAGACATATCACCAGACAGACCGTCACATTTTTGACATTCCAACTACATAAAAAGAAAATTAAGAAACTCTATCGGAAGATGTAAAAGAGAAGATCCCACGATAAAATATGAAATGTCTCATAAATTGGCTATACAGAAAACAATGTAATAATAATTGGGACAAATCTAAGAGATTTGTACTAGGACGATTAATCGCCAAAATTTTCCAACGCAAATTACTCACGCAGATTATCCACCAATAGCACTTTGTTATGTCTAATTACTATGAAGGGTTACTTAACTGGGTCAAACGTTTAGAATACTAATTTCATTTCCTTAATGGAAATGGAACTAAACAAAAATAACTAAGGTCTTATAACAAGTGTACAACGTATAACAAAGTTTTTTTAATCAGTAACTAAATTGATATCAGCTTTAAGTATGAATAGACATACATTGACTATTTTAAAGAATAATAAATAATATTTATGAACAACCTTTTATAGTTTAACTCTGAATGATTTTTTATATTGACGTAAGTAATATTGTAGCTTATAAACAGTAATAACAGTTCACGCATAATGTGCGGTAACGGATTAAGTTAACTATACAGCAATCCTTTTCATCCCTAGAGCGTCGTTTTTGTTACGGAGACGGTTAAATTAAACAAATTTAATAGTATTACTTTGAACTACTTGATAACTATACAGATTAAATGATACCCACCATAAGGATCTTGCCACTTAAAATGAAATACTTAAAGTGAGAATTTTCAACGTCCCAGGTGTCTGCCACTACTTTATTAACCATTGTGGACATTTTTTGCTTTGGAGAAATTATGATAACTAAATAAAAATAATCTAACAAGAGCCATATCATCATTTTTTGTAGTGATAATAGACGATAGAATATATAATTAAATGATATTCAATATATCTTTTATGTTTCTAGACGATAGCTAGCACTCACTTATCAAAAGGCTTAGACATGTGAAAAACAAATCTATCAATAACGATTCAATCGATAAAAAATTACCACCGGAAGTTACTATCTCATTCTTATTATATGCCTATAGATAAAAGCTAAAATAAACTTAATATTGTATTATTTATATTAACAAATCTAAGCGTCACATACCTTTTTTGCATTCGTCGATGTTTTCATCCGAGTTGTCACCACAGTCGTTCTCCCCTTCGCAGACCCATGACAGCGGTATACACTTTCCGTTCTTACACTGGAACTGCTTCAGGGAACACGCTCCTGAAATTGAAATGTATTTATTTATTAACTCTTTATTGCACCAGCTACAGGTATTATTATTAGCAGAGTACGACAGTATAAAAGACATTCTAGCCGCTTATGCAATGTATTTGTTTGAAAACAAAATTAATGTGAAACTTGATCTAGATAGGTATATTATGTAAGTACTTGTTAATTTTGCGGGTTTTTGTTCCAATTTTGAATTGTTTCGACATCATACGAAAATCGTCTTATGCTTAGTTCTAAAAAATATCCGTAGGAATTTATCGACAAATCTTTACAATTATGCACCCAAATGATAGTGATTGTAAAAACGAAAAAGTAAAAATAAAATGTTCCTGTTCTTAACATGCCTACATATTTACTGCATAAACTTGTAACATGCACCAACATGTCTGAGATAGAAATATTTTACTATTTAAATGTCTGGTACAGATAACTTATTTTTTATTAATAAACTATTTTGTTTATGCGTAAATACGTACATATAAGATTTTCAAATCATATCTCATTACACCCTAAGTATATATAAACGATTATTGTAAATATAATGTGATTAATAATATCATAACAATCACAGTAAGACAGATAAAACATTAAATATTTGAAGGACAATTATATCAATAATCTGAGGATTAGGTACTTGATATTGATTATTGTCAATACAACAATGAGTTTAATATATAATGTAATAGAAACATTCATATTTTACTTATATATTAATAAGCGAATATAATCGCCAATGAATTATTTGGTACTCTAATAAGGATTACAATTCAATAATGCATTAATCTTTATAAATACTTCATAAAATTACATTTAATATTCGTTCCATGTATAGTAAACAACTATTGTATTATATCTATAATTGACTATTGTATTAATTAATCAAAATTTTCCAATTTTAATAACAGGAAGTTAATCCCTGTTACAATTAAGTAATACAAATTTTCAATAGGTAAATACTTTTGTACTTGAATAAGGAAAAATGTCTATTATAATGAGTCAATTACCTCAATTCATAAACAACTTGTAAATACTATTAGGTAAGTATTTATTTTCCTGATGAATAAACAATTACGTTTTGCTTCTATGTAATTTAGTGAATTTGTTTATAATTTATGACTCATCAATAACTAGCATCCACACTTTCGAAAGTATGGTGTAAAAGATCAAGCGATGATAAAAACAGTCCTGAGGTAAGGTCTGATGTCTTCATTATTTTTATTATATGTGTATATAATAACCGTGTAAATATAGATAATATAAAGTAATAATTTTCGGTACTATATACGTGGGTTGCTGCCATTGACTTACAAAATGCTTGGACGTATATGCTGAAAGTGGTGTGATGAACACCTAAAAGTGTTAAAGAAGAAACGATGCAGTGAAAAATAATTGTTTTCGAAGTTGATATATATGATATACAAATTTTATAATGGTAACCAAAAAACATAATAACAATGTACTTATTAATTAACAATGTGATATAAATATGGAATCGTATATGCATCCCCAAAGTTTACTACCACAGACACAAAAGGTACAAAAAATCCTTTTAACAATTAATTAGTAAGTACATGTGTGTATAAAGTAAGAATAAAATAAACCTTCAAATATTAACGAGTGCTATTATGTATTACTAAAAGATCAAAACATATAGAAAACCTAGAAAGGTACACACATTCGACAAATATCACACAATGAAACGAAATAAGTCTATCAGAAGTTGGCATGTAACAATATGAAATGAATACGATAAGGCGGACCTTCTCATGATCCTAAATATCTTTTTTATGAGTCTATTATATAATGTACACACAAACTCAAAATAAGCCAGAATATTGGAAAACTATCTCCCCCAACCAATACTACTGATTTATGTGGCAGTACTCTCAATGAACTATCTCATAACGCTGAATCTGTTACTTGGACTACTCGAATTAATACATTTTAATTTCCATTACAGAATAGCATAGAATATAATTAATTCAGAGATCAATACGGTAAGTGAAGAACATAATATACATACATGGGGCATGGGCCAATATTCATGTAAAACATAAAAGTAGATATAGAACAAATTAATATTTAGAGATGACACAAGGACACCATAACATGTAACTGTCCAATAAAGTGTTTATAACATACACTATAAGGGGAAGATCCGATTGGGTCGAAGAGCGACAGGAGTAACCTGACCCCGCAGGCAAAAACAAAGATAAGATATAACAATGTTAATGATGAGTTGAGTATACTAATTTCAATGACAAAGGTATAACACCTTGGCAACACAAATACAAAGGGCTATAGAATTCAATTCGTATGTAAATCAAATGAACAATAAACAAATCTTCATTAATCTCTTTTTAATACAAAACGCTTTGATCGCCTAGCAGACATAAATACGTTGGTATGATAAATACTCGTTTGGGCTGAGTGGTTTGACTGAAAGGGACACTAATTTAATTTCATTACATTAGGTCGAGGGTTCTTGTCTAAAAGCGGACGACAGGGCGCAGCGCATGGTGTCTGTTGAATGGCGGTGAGCCGAGCGGCCGGCATGACATCCAATCTGTGTGGAGGGTCCTCTTGTCTGTCTCATTGAAACTAAATCACCCGAAACTAGGGGAGCTCGCGAATTTCATCCAAAATGAAAGACCGCGTTTGGCTCGCGATATCCGTAACGAAGTTTACATGTGAACAGATCTTTATATACATTCAGTCCATCTATTTTAAATCTGGGAGAAAAGTTTATCGGAACCAAGATTTTCGATATACTGTATTCCTCTTACAATTTCTTCTAATACTAGTAGTTAGTTATTTAGTATACAAATACAAAAGATTTGTAAGATAATTACTTAAAGATCTTTTTTATTACTTTAACACGCCATGCGAAATAAGTGATAGCATCACTTATTTTTAATGGACACCTAATATTCCAATTTATTGATCCAATATGAAATGATTATAACATTCAATAAAATAATGTAAATTAAATTTATCTATATTTAAAATACCTTAAAAATAATTATAATTATCCTATACATTATACAATATATTGAATATTGTATATTGAAAAATAAGAGGTTGTACTTAGACGCAACATTATTCTTTAATATTATACTTTAATGGATTTTTCAAAGATAAACGTCCCTTTTGAGACGGCTGAAAGGATTTAGCTCCATTTATCAGGAATCTTGATAGACCTATTTTGCTGCGTCCAAATCTCGTTTAATATTCATAATATTGCTTCCAACATCTTTGGTGGGCATACTTGAAACAAAATGAGAAAAAGGGACGGAAAATAACTTACGAAAAATAATTCTGATCCGCCAGAAACCACAAAAATTATAAAGCAGGCATTGTGTTATAAAATTATTTTGTTTTGTTGGCTATACAATAGAATATTGAGCTTTGTGTAACTTTACTGACGGTAAATAATATTCGGCAACAATTTTATGGCTACAAGACTTTGAGAACACTTTAGATATTTTAATTAAAAAATTATGAAGGCGGCAGACATCCTTAATTATTTGCGTGGGGGTTTATCAAGTTAATCGATGAGTATTTCAGAAATGATTTTCCTGTAAAATGAAGTATCAACGATTGTTAGCTCGTAGTTTTGTAGTATTGTTTATGTATGTTGGGCCCAAGAGAGGCAAATCCGACAGATTGCAAAAAGAATTATCAATTCAATTTGGAATGGGCAAAGATATTCTGCGTATAATCAAATTGAAAGCCTCCTTCATATCGGTTCATATTAATAATGAATTAAATAAGAAACCTATAGACCTATAGAAAAAAACCTACCTACCGTAGCGAACTGTCATCAGTCAACACCGAAAAGCCTTGTGTTAGTTTATAATTCTGACTGAATCACTGATGAAATAAATATCCATATCAAATCAAAAACATAATCCGAGTGGCAAGCAAAATGGCAGTAAGCTGACCATCCTAAAGAACTTATGCTGACGATATTAAATAATAGACTATATATACAAATATTTTTATGTAAATAGATTCTTATAGAATTAGGTTAAAATCCCACCCCAATAAAATCCAAGTTCTTATAAATTCATTTGTGTAATGTGTTGGAATCAAAACATACTGTACTACTACTGTCGTCAAATAATAGTGAGTTATATAAGTATTCACAGCTTACTGTAAGTACGCACATCTTATTGATATTATCAATAAGCAGATGATACTCAGGATGGTTCAAATCCAAAACTGGATAACTGCTCGTCGGCCACTGAGCTGGAATCCCATGTTTGAATACAAATGAAGCGTTTATCCCTGAAAGCCAATCTGTATGCAAATTACAGGTTCGTTCAACTATTCTCGTTAGTTGCTCATTTTCGGAATGTTTGAATTATTATAGTATTGTTTCAGTATGAAATCTACATTCTATATCCGATCTACATTTTAAATTTATTCCACGGCAATGCACGATTTAATAGCTCGTTAGTAATCTTCCACAGCACTAAAATAAGCATGTATTTTGTTCTGTAATAAAACCTAAAAACATAACAACAGGGTAGATATATGTATGCATTTTTTATAATATAATTAAATTTTTACATAAAAGGAAGATCTTAATAAATATATATGAATATTTTTGAACTGTACAAAATATTTTTTTAAATAATATTTGTTCGATATAAATTATACATCTATGGACTCCGCCGTTTTTAGCGTGTTTAGAGTAAATGTCACCTAAAAAGCACAACGACGCCGATAAAGCAGATAACGTGATAAGACATAACGTTTCGTTTCGACCAGTAATGATGTGTATCGCAATTTTTCCTGTTCCCATGTTTTTAACTTCTGAATTAATATCTCATGCAATTAAAAATTAATTAACTATTTTACGACTGCTCTCTAGAGTAAACTGTACCGATTATATCCGTAAAATCGAAATACGTATATATCCGACGAGATATTACGTGACTTTCATTAAAAAAAACAGTAGACTAACGAAAGAGTTAGTGCTAAGT